AAGCTAGTTGGAAGTGGTTCCGGTCCACTTCCCGGAGCAGAGGTATTTGTGTTATGATAACGAGGTCATGAGGGGACAGAGGAATACCTGAAATGGATACAGATGAATATGGATGCGCGGATATAATTGATATGGCTGTAGTGAGAAGAAGCGTTGGAATGGACAGTAGTGAGATGGTTGATTTACAATCTATCTGCGGAAGTATTGCTTCCTTATATATACATTCAGTACCCCAGTCCTGATCACGCACTCACCACAGGTGCTTCCTACTTCTATCACAGTAACCACTTCCATAGCCCCTGCCAATATCTCCTGTCATAACATACTATTGACACTGGTTGCTAGTGTGGAACTCCCGGGACTGCAGAGCTATACACCGTCGTCAGATTATATGCTGTTGCCCCTCGGTAGCCATCAGAGTGATGTGCGCCTCAGTCTAAACGCATTGGTCCACCAGGCAACGCTCGGATGTAGGGATGTTGCCAGAGTGATTAGGTACTTAGCTGTGCTGCCAGTGCCCTAATCTCATCTAGCTTACTGCGGCCGAGTGTCCGAGTGCCGCAATGGTGGGAGCCCAATGAGGCTCGATTGGAGCTGATCCGAGGTATTCACAACAATTTGACGCGGAGATTACCTTCCAATTCGCATTCTTCTGGACAATCAAGCGGCCAGCCAGGCGCTCGAAAGAGGAAGATCTAACTCCTCGCAGTCGGTGATGGACAAGTTTTCGTCGTTGAGACAAAATAAGCGTGTGTAAATACGCTGGATACCCGGTCATGTAGGGATTCAAGGCAATGAAGAGGCCGAAAAGCTGGCCAATCCATTTGGGAGCTCCCAATAACCAGTCACTAACCTCATCTGTGCCAAGTGGAGAAGATCAAGTTCTAACCTTTGCAGCATTAGGGAGGTGGGTTAAACTGCGCAGCCAGGAGCTCGTGGAAAAGTAAAGGCAGAAGTATCGATTGAGACAGTACAAAGATCTGGACCTATTTATGCGTTGCAAAAGACCACCGGAACTAGCTGTACCAAAATGGGCGTAGCACCGTCTAATTGCAGCAAGGACTGGCCACAGTGACTACGCCTACAACTATTGACGTTTTAACCACAAACATGAAGATGTGAAATGAGTTTGCAGCCGAGAGAAAAGGCCCTGGTATTTTTCAGAGTGCCAACCTGCTTTGCAATTTTAGAGAAGCAATGAGAAAATGACCCCACCTGGGCCTAGAGAAAAGATTGGGAAGAAGGGATGGCAGAAGTTCATTCAATTCTTAACTACAAGCAGATGTTACAGTCTGCCGAAGAGTGAACAGGGTGGGAGGTGACCACGCTGAGATTGTTTCTGACCCGAGAGGAGATGGGTGTGGAAGATGGGGATGCGGCGCAGGGCACCGTAAATCAGTGTCACGGAATGTGGTCGTGATCTAATCAATCGAACGAACGAAATATACGAAGTTTATTCTTATTTCCTAAAGTAATGATAACGCATGAATAACTACAATGCGGAATATGAGCATATGGAAAGGAAAGATATTTTACTGGGGTATTACTAAGCGCACCCTGAGGCCAGCATTATACATGGGCCGCAAACAGTGAACGGCAGGAGTTTGTGCACTAGATCCTGTAACACCAGACATAAACTGTTCATTTTTTTTCGTTCTTTTCTTTTGTCGCTTCTGGCTCCACTGCCGGTCATGTAGGTAGCAGTGAGCTTTCAGAGCCCATCTACCCGTGTCATGTCTAATTAGAGGTTAGGTTCTTCCTGTCACATAAAAGATTTCAATTTCTATGAAGGACTTTCACTTGATACTAAGGTTAGAACTGAAATGCTCCGACACTTCCACAGATCTCGATTACTTGTGTGCATCTAAAAACTTAATACATTGCCAGCCACTGCTTTATGAACGGGTGTGGTGTTTGAACCATCTAACAGACGATTCAGGTTGTCAGGATACATGCCTCCTGATGGCTACCGCCTTGGCATGGTCTAACTGATGTAGTAAATCCCAACACTTATTAGATCACACACTTTAAGAAGCCCTTTTCCCTTCGTTATCCCCTCTCTCCAGCCAATATATGATGGCCTTTTGCGGGTATATGGTTGCAAGGAAAAATTGCTAAAACCACTGGGTGTGGAGCTCCTCTATTACCGACATTAGGACTAGATCCGAAGACTTAGTGACCCTTCTGAAGCGTTCAAAGAGGGCAGCCAGCTAGACTCTGCAGCTTGTGGGTAACTCGGGGAATTCGCCCTCTGTCTTTCTAGCCTTCTTTCAAACCTTTCCCGAAGTTTTTGCTGAAATGTCAGAAAAGTCTTGACAGAGCGTGATTGCTGTATGGTAGCTTAGCCCAACTTCTTTTGTGCCGTCCAGGGACCAAAGGAGTCCCGTTGACTAATCGAAAATTGGAGTCCTTCTGGATAATCAGCCAAAATCTTGCTCTTGGTGCTCCCAAACTTTCCAATGTTGAAACTACTCGGAAATATCGGTGCCCACATGGTCTTCAGAGACCTGTTCCCCCTCTCGTCCCACATCTCAGCCGCCTGTCCCTCCTCCAGATGTATAACTCCCTTAGAGAAACAGTCCCCTGTGAGCCAGGACCTAGGATTTGTATTTTTCGACTTGATTTCCTCCTTGCGCGTCTTAAAAGCATCGTAAATATGTAGTGAGAGATGGCTGAAAATTAATGGAGCAAGCTTCTGTCTGCAATTAGAATAACTCAAATATTGGTCATTAAGGCGAGAAGGTGCGTAGTTAGAAAAAGTTTGAGGACTCAGATGAGAAGGTAAGAGGGGCATTGTCCATGTCACGGTTTGACCGTCGTATGAGCTTAGGTGGATACCTAAGCATAATACTTAGATTGTTTACAACAAGGTCGCACAGGGAGGGAAAGATAGAACTGGACAAAACGATAATACTAATCAGGACGCAAGATCGCTGTTACAACTAAGAAACACCCAATGATACGTGGCTAGTTAGCGAGTATGATGTCTGGAGGAAAACCATCAGTTGGTAGATACACGCAGCGGAACAGTCATTATAAGTACCTGTTAGTTGTAGCTAGAGCTCTCTTCTCTCCTCAGATAGTTTAATAAATCGACTTATTCATCACCAACTCGGTTTCCGTCACAGTCCAGAAGTCGTCAAATGAGGATATGCTTGAGATTGCTTTCGACTTCGATTCGGATGCGATTCTTCTTGGCTATCCCAGATATACAGAGCATGCTGAGCGATTACACCGGCACCACTGGAAGGTGAAGAATTCGTCTTTGCCGGCTCAAATTGTAGGGTGAGTTGAAGTTTTGTGAGTGGCAACGTTGCATGGGAGCTGCCAAGATGTAGGAGAGGTAGACATGCCGGGATAGACAATCTTGGTCTACAGGCAGAGAGCATCAAAATATTCGCAGTATTCAGAGACGTGTAGTAGACTACAGTAGAGTCACAATGAACTAGAGGGGCAGAATTCTTGCAATTCAATGTCGTTTCAAGATAAATCAAGGGTTTCCGCATATGGAAGGCTGGTTCATTTCAAAGCCGTAGCGACGAGAACGATCGCTTCATTTCCACGGTGTTAACCCCCGCTGTAGAGGACGAGACTGAACATCTGTACGCGGTGTCCACTACGAACCTGGAAGTGAAATATTTTCCCAGAGCCAAGTTCAGTCAAATTTCGCAATATCAATGAAGTTGGCCCACGAGACAATCATTCAAAATACTCCACCACGCCGTTTTTTCGCTCCCAAAGAGCTTGACTTCTACCTAAGTCTCATCAAGTCTACAAGTACGACCAAGTACATCCTCATCCCAATGAACACATTTCTCTTCTACCTTCTCTGGCCTCAGTTGACCACCAAATACACGCCCTCGCCGATATTTACACCCGACGGAGGAAGCAAAGCGTGACACACAAATCTGGGGGACAGTTCTTTGGGATGGACGTGAGAGGAATCAGGACAAGTTTACAAGATGATGCAAAAAAAGTATTTAACCTTGAAGGGCGAAATTTTGAATTCTAGCAATGAGTTTTACGAATTGAGCTTTTTGCGCGCCAAGAATTCTCTTGTGAAAGTGTAGCTGACACTATAAAAATAAGCCGACGATGGAAGGTGTTCTCTAGTATAGTTTGAGTAGCCTGGGCACCTACTCCACTTGGGAAGGAGACATCTTAGATCATATTTCGCGCGGAGAAAAGTTGATGGATGACGGAGGCATGTCTGGATAACTCAGGGTTTTTGAGACGTTCCCCTGGGCGGGTATTCACGGATGAGGGTTGACTTGGGGTGAAGAAAAAGCCACCATAACTTCGCAGTGGTACGTGCAAATGAAATCCGAGGCATGAGTGTTCCATTTTAAGATTGAGTCATCTATCCTGTACTTTTCTTTGATAGTGTCATAGCTAGATAGCTGCATATGCAACTAAAATTTGATCCAAAAAAAACCTCGTTACACACACCTTATAAGAGGCTTAGTCACTGTTACCAATGGGCAACAATGGGTGCACTCGTGACCCTTCTATTTTCAATAGATTCCAGCCAGTCAGTCAAAGGAATGAGATCCAGCTTGATGGATAAAGAATTAAATTACTGAAACACTTAAAACCGGGTCACTCTTGTGTCTTCATGAGTTAATGATTCGTTTCACTGACAAAGTCGCATCAATCAAAGTCAATCTCGCATGATATCAGCAATCTTCCCTAAATATTACGCAAGCTGAATAAATTGTAATTTTCATCTTCATATTCATGATTAAATTCTAGTCAACGTGGAAAGTATTGATGCCCATTTCATAAGCAAATAATTACTAATTTTTGTCTTATCTCGAGCCATTTGACCCTATTTCAACATATCTGGCAGTTTATCAACCCCTTTTCGCCCGAGAATATCCATCATCACGCTTTATTTTCGACGTGCTTGGAAAAATTTGTTCTCGATTCTTCCAACTAAAATGTGAATAATTTGTCAGTGGAAATCGAGTCAAAAGAGTGGATCTTTCATTTAGTAAAAATCATATCTTACCTTTGATATCCTCGATAGTTTTGTCAAATGCCTTGATGATTTTTCTATACAGAGGTCCACAGTCTTGTGGTGTCTCAATATATTGTCCGTCATCATTAAACAATATTATCCGAAACATCTTCGCTAGTTCCTTGAGTCCTTTGAAACTGGTCGTGAATTTCTTGAGAATTTCTTGATCGAAATGTTCGACATCATCCCTTTTGAGTTTGAAGTTGCCTTTCACATCGTTCGTGCACCAACGATCTAGATTATTGGCCTTGTCTGCAGATACGTCTTCATATTCTATGCATCCAACGATGAACACATAGAAAAATGACTCTAGGTCATGACGACAAGTGCGTCCGATAGACTTTCCTGTGTCACGAGCGTGCTCCAATCTCTCAAGCGCCATGAACTTTATGGTACCCGTCAAGGACTGTCTCTCTTCCAAGGCCAAATTTCCTTTCATCCTAACCGAGTGATCGAGATCAATCAACATACCATGTAAGTCATTGGCTGGAGATGGCTTCAGCAAAATTATATTCCCTTCAGAGATATCGCCATGGAGTATCTCTTTACCCACCAGTCCCTCATGACCCTTGATGGCATCTCGGATGCCCGCCACAAAATCAAGAATCGACCCACTGGAATAGATTGTCCGCCCGCTTGGTGTCATGGCTATTCTAATGAGTCGACGGTTTCTCTCGTAGGAAACAGTTGTTGAATCACTTGTGTTATGGCCTTCGGAGATATACTTATCGTCAGCTCTTAAATCCCAAGGCAGAGAAATAGAAATATCTAGGCTATCCATGTGAGATTTGGTGTCATATATCACATCTGAAGCAATAATATTTACGACACCTCGCACAGTCTTGGCCATGTTCAGGAAGTCAATCTCGGTGTTTTCTTTCGAACTAGTCCACGAGTACTTGATCATCGTCATTTCATCCTTCGTTTCAAAGCAGGTTGTACCTCGAGTTATTAGCCTCGTTGGTTGTACTATAGGTTCAGGTTTGATCTCAAACAATGGACCTGGAACATCACCAATTTTGGGGAACTGGACAAATCTATCTTCTCCATTCTGGAGGATAGACATGTCGCAGCCGAGTTCTTCACTGCTCATCAGAAGATATGAGCTTATTGCTCGGACCAACATCTCCTTGTCATCAACAATCTTTTTTGGTCCTGCGCTGTAGGCACCCGATCGATCAAAAAGCCAGAGCTCAAATTGGTCTCCGAACAAGCAGAAACCATGTATGAACCGGCGCAACGGCTGAGCGCAAAAGACCTCTCGAACAGACCTTGACAATTGAATAAACTTTTTTTTCCTTTCTTCTTCCCAAGGTGATATGGTAAACTCGCCCAGCACATTTATATTCTCCCACTCAGCAGGACCGTCATTGGGCAAGTTAATACTTTTGACCATAAAATCAAGTTGGGTTTTGCCCTTTGATTTTAGCGTGCGTCCCATAAGTCCCGTACGACAGTACTGTCCCCGCAACTGGGAGAAAGGCTCTTCAATGAATATTGGATGTTTTGTCGAAGGTTTTGGTGAAGGGCCTTTGAGCTGATCTAAAAATTTTTGCCTGAAAAAATGGAGCCATTCCCATACCTCACTTTCTGGCATGTTTCTTTCAAGTATCTTCTCACTTTTGGCTTTATGAAGGTTTTCATAGTGATAAATGTCTTCCGGCTTTTCCAATTCCTGAAGTTCTAATAATCTCTCCTTCTTCTCAGCATTCTCATAATTCTGATAGCTTTCCCATATGCGAGAAGTCTGCTTGGACCAAGTCTTATCCTCGAAAAATACTTCCCAAAAGGATACGATTTTGTAGAATACATTGTCGTCTAGATCAACTCTCATGACATTTTCTAGTTTCAAGGCCGTCCAGTCAAAACCTTCTACTTCTGAGTGATTTTTTCTATATGATGTTTTACTTTTCGTGGGGGCCAATGATGTTGGACTAATAACTATCTTTGCAAGTGAAGCGATGGATAATTCTAAGATATGTCGCTCATCCTTTTGATGGAGAATGGCGGAACTAAGATCTGCGAAATGTGCAATGTTGATTTTTCCTTCAACGATATTGATTGAGGTCTTAGTGAAAGACAAGTGAAGTTGATACATGTTGTTATTACTCCTTTGTTGATACACATAATTTCCCAGGTCAGAGTAAAAGTCAGAAACAGCTATAATATTAGCTAGATTGTTCGTAGGTAGCGATGGAATTTTTACCGCGTTTAAAGGATCTTTTTTTAAATGTACGTCGGAAAGACTGGAGGATATACTTGATGGAGTTCTCCGATTGATAAGCGAGAAGATCACCCAGTTGAGACATGCTGTGAAGGAAGGTTGTGAATTGTTTAGAGTGTCAGAAATTGATGAGGTGGAACAGATTGAGATGGAGATCTGGGGCCCAATCATTCCTTTATACCAATGAAAGTCACATGATATTCATGTCAACAGCTACCTTCCCTTTGTAAGGCTGCACATTTCTCTGAGAATCTACGACATACAGTACCTCTAGGATTCGAAAAGTTAGACTTGAAACTGGGTTGATTAAGGAATTAGCCCTGTAGGCGCAGTTGGGCTAGCTCGCAATAGGTTAGTCTGTCTCTCCTCATTATCCCGCTCGCCATGATGTGTGGTCCAATCGTCTTATTCGAATAATTGGTTACAGAAACACATTTACAACGACACTCTTGACTGCCAAACCGACACAACCCTTTTGTGGGAGGACGAATGCTGAACACCTGTCAGTGGTGTCCTTTACGAACCTGGGAGTGAAATATTCTCCCAGAGCCGAGATTCAGTCACGACAAAGGGTGAATTTGATAGTTTTCGTCGAGTTGGCAATCGAGAGGAGTGGTGTTGGCTCATTTTTGGTCGAAAATCCGACTTGCAGAGATTTCACTACTGCACAACTCAACGAAATCAACCATCACACCCCAGATATGAACCGCAGACAGCCTATAACCTGTCTGATGTTCGTATTACAAAAACCGACACCTTCAACATCTTATTTTCTACTTCTCTGGAAAATTACTCCTAGCCAAACTCATCTTGCGGCCCTCTTAACAATCATCTCACCACCTACCTAAGCAATCCCATACCTCCAAAAGCCAAATCGCCAACTAAGAAGCAAGAGGATTTCCGACCCTCTGCAACTGCCAGCCGCTGTGAAGGAACGGTCGAAATACCGGCCTTAAATGCGTCCTCACCTCGGGCAAGGGCATCAACAACTCCACCTACGACGAATCGCCACCGACGAAATACGTACGACATTTCGTCGGCACACTAACTAGAGCGTTCGACAAAGCCTGGGGCACCGGTGCCTCGGTCTTGAGCTCTCAGTCACATTTTCGACCTCCACGGTTAGGGGTACGGCAGCGACGGGGCAAGGCCGGAGGGGTGGACATTCAACAAAGTTTCTAGGATGACGAGATCGGCTGAAGGACAGAGGGATACTGCATGAAGGAATAAAAAGGGGATACAAACTGAGGAGGCCTTGGTTGGCGACTGGATGAGGCCTCCAGTGAAGAAAACGACTCCTGGATGAGATGAGGAGATGCTGAGATGAGCCAAAGCTGGGAATGAATGAAAGGGAAAAGTTATAGATCGCGGAGGTATCAAGGGCTCGGGCGCGTGGTGGCCGAGGCTGAGGAGGATCTTGCGCTTCGGCGCGCCAAAAGGGGGATCTCTGGACGGTTAGGCTTGACATGATTCAACACATGGGTGAAGTCTGAGGTGGTCCGGTCATTTAGGTGGGACGAGGTAGATGTACTTAATGGTAGTTAACCTGATCCAGCCCGACCCCACCCGTGCTTAAGCTCCGGTAGGAGTGCAACGGGAATCACTTTACCAAACACGTAAATGAACAAGACAAGACAAGACATTGTAGCCTCTAAATTGTAGGACAAGTCTTTAATCACATTATATCGAAATCAATCCTAGCCTCTCATAAAGCAATCTCATGAATCTATTTCCGTGTCTGTGATAACATACCAATATACAAAGTCGACGATCAAGTTCAAAGTCGATTAGTTCATACTTGTGTCCCATCAAAAGCCGGAGGTACAAAAGAGAGTGCCAAGACGCCCCACACAATCAGCTCCTGGTCAATCCACCACCTCAAATATTTGCGCCATCGGGGTCAAACTCAAGACCAAAGTCGACTCTTTTCAGCACGCGAGGGCAGGGAAAGGATGGCGAGGTCAAGCATAATTCTAGCTGGCCTTGTCTCGGACTGATGGCCAATTGCACTTCCTGTAGGTAACGGAGGACTACAGATGTAAAAAACTTTATAGGGGGAGGGCGTTTTTATCGTAATGGTTTCTCCCTCATGTAAATATAAGACTTCATAGACACCCCCATGGGTCCATAGGGCGCCCAATCGGGCTAAATGAAATCAAAATTAAAAAATTAATAACTATATGATGATAATATTCAAAAAAACATCATCATTTGGTCAAAAGCGGCACCACGTTCCACGAACGTTATTTCATCATTTTAATTATTGCTTCTAACTTAATCGGCCCATCTCATCCGATTCCCGAATTTTTTACGTTGCGCTTCGGCATGGCGAGTTGGGGGACAGGAAAGGTGGATTTAACGGCTGGAAAAATTTTCACGGCACCACCACCACCACCAACGGATAGCGGAACAGCCGCAATAATGCTTGTAGAATCTCTCGCGACTTCTACAGGCATGAAACTGGATAAACTTAAAACAATTGCTTACTACTTAAATAAGGTTAGAGACAGACTGGTGATTGCAGGAACTGACGGATCTGCGACACCGATGGTCGAGATAGATGAGGCTCTTAACGCCTTCATAGCCCACGCCAAGATGTTACGATCGAAGCTGACGGCTAACCCCATGGAAGAACGAATGCTAGCCTTAGAAAAGGCAGTAACGAAGAGTCTCGAGGGGCCTGTGCGCAAGACGGCTCCTCAGTCGACATTAGGAATGAGAGGCCGACCAACATACGCCTCAGTCGTTGCACCTCCGGCAACAAAAGCAGCCGTAAGAATACGAATGGAAGGATCAGAAAAGATGCAGCCGACGGAGCTGCTTAATAAGGCGAAAAAACATATCGAGGGGGCATATGCCGTAAGGCAGCTGAGGAGTAATGACACTGAGGTGTTTGTGCAGTCGGTCTCCCAGCGAGACGCTGCCTTGAGAATGGCTCAACCAAAGGAGTTCTGCGTCATAAACCAGGATTACCCTTTTGAAATTTTGGGAGTCCCACTGGGGACAATAATTGTTGTGATCAGACCCACTTATAGATCACACAAGTTGGAATGGCTAGTACTGGGCAAGTGAACCAACAGGACAAGCGACCCTGCGTCAATGATACGTCATCGGCACACAGCAATGACAACACCAGTATCTCAACCATACATGATTATATGATAATATGACGCAGGTATATCTAATGACATAGTTGTTGAATGGCTGAATGGTTGACAGTTATTGCTATTGATGGTATATTGTATGTATTGTCTTTGTGTATAAATACTCGCTACTAGACCTCTGTATATGATCAACCTTTTCCACTCTTATATTCAATAGTCATCAATATAGCAGATCTACAATATATATCTGTCTTCTTCACGTTAGACTTAAAGTGCTATCCTACATCAACCCAAGTTGACTGTTACACCCATTGTGACAATTCTTAGACTTCTCATAACCTCGTT